GTCCTTCAAGAATAAAAAATATTTTTGAATTTTATTATTTTGTGATCTTTGTTGATAATTATTCTTATATAACTTAATTGTTGTTTATGAAGGATCATTCTGAATTGCCTAAAATTTTTCTTACTTTTGCAATGAAATTCTTGTACAGTTTGTTTTAACGTATTAAGATATTTTGTTCTGATAATGCTCTTGAGCATGTACAATCATTTATGCATACATTTTGCATTGATCATGGTATCATTCATCAAATTACATGTCCACATTCATCTCAGTAAAATGGTGTTGCAGAATGCAAACATCGTCATTTATTGGATGTTGCTCGTACTATCATGTTTAACATGCATATAGCTAAGCCTTATTGGACAAAAGTTGTCCATACTACAGTTTATCTTATTAATCTGATGCCTTCACCCATCCTCGATAACAAGTCTCCATTCTTGTTGTTTTATCCTGATACATCACCCTTTAGCCTAACTCCTCGAGTAATTGGCAATGTTGCATTTTTTCACTTCCTTGATCCGGGTAGGGATAAACTCTCACCTCGCTCAGTAAAGTGTCTTTCTAGGTTACTCTCATACTCAAAAAAGTTACTGTTGTTATGTCAGTGTTGATGTCACATTTTTTGAGTCATCTTATTTTCCTGGGGAATTACTCTTTTCCTAGATTTAATATCTACTAGTCACGAAGAGCTCATATTGCCTCTTATACCCGATTGTGTACCTTCTCTCACTCTAGCTCTTGACCCTCACTTGGAGGTTTACCATTGTTCCACAGACAAACAAGTTGTTCCATATGCTCCAACTCCTCGGCCAATGCCTGCTTCTACTGAGCCTTTCCTCCTGGTCTGTCTAATGAATTGCTCTCTTCTGATTTGCTTATTGCACTGCAAAAAGATACTCGTACTTATACTTAAAATCTCATTTCTAACTGTCTCTTTGCATAGGCTTTCTTCACACTTTCGTTGTTTTGCATCAGCCTCGTCTTTTGTGTTTGTTCGTAGTTCTTTAAAATAGGCATTAACATCTCTTGGATGGAAGCTAGTTATGGATGAAAAAATTAAGGCACTTTATGACAATCATCATAGAGATCTCTCTTCCGTCTAGTAAGAGCTTGTCGGTTGTCGTTAGATCTACACTGTTAAATATCATCTTAATAGATCTGTTAAGCATTTGAAGGCACAGTTGGTTGCTAAGGGCTACACCCAAGCATATGGTGTTGATTACAGTAAGACTATTGTTGCTCATCTTAACTCTATTAGAGTTCTTATTTCTGTTGCAGTCTGTTGTAACTATTTGTATTAACTGGACATAGAGAATGCATTTTTACATGGAAATTTACAGGAGGAGACGTATATGATTCAGCTACCAAGTTATGTTATCACTGTTTAGTGTGTTGGTTGAAGAAAGTAATGCATGGCGGTGGCAAGTGGGTGGGTGGGTGGGTTGGGTTGGGTTAAATTGGATTGAGCTTAAAATAAATCCAATTCATTTTTCACTCACGTAGTAAATGGGTTATAATGGATTGGGTTTATAACGGGTTGGGTTAAACTGATTAACTCATAAAATAATTAAAATTCTTAATAGACACATTAGTACACCAAAACACACACACATTAGTAGTACACCAAAATACAAACATACACACACTAATACACCAAAACACGCACAAACTAATACACTAAAAATATACACACTAATACACTAATATACCAAAAATACACGCACATATACTAACACAAAAACTAAAACACATTTAATTAAAAATAAAATACACATAATGGGTCGAGGTCTATTGTGGGCTATGGGTTAGTCTGTGGGTCATGAGTCAACCTATGGGTTGAGTCAACCATGGGTCGTGTGTCAACATGTGGGTCATGGGTCGACCAGTGGGTCATGGGTAGTGTATTAATATGTGTTTTTGGTGTACTGGTGTGTGTATGTTTTTGTGTATATGTGGGTATTTTTTGGTGTAATAATATGTATTTTTTAATATATTAGTATATTTATTTAATTTTATTACTTGTTTTATTTAATAAAAAGATAAATACTTAACTCAATAGATATTCATTTATAATCTATATTAACCTGCTTAATTAAAATGAATCATGTTATCCAACCCATTTAGAACCCATATTAATTAATATAGGTACCAAACCCATTTATTTATGGGCGAATTGGGTGAATTAATGGGTAATGAATTAAAATTGCCACCTCTAGCTTGAAGCAATCACCACGTGATTGGTTTGATAAATTTAGCACTATTGTGCTTCAATTTGGCTTTCAACTTTCTACTTCAGATCATTCAATCTTCACTCATCGGTCTTTTGCAGTCATTATTGTTTTTCTGTATGTTGATGACACCATCATTAGTAGTAATGCCGCAAATGGTTTTGTCCATTTCAAGGCCTATTTGGGAAAGAAGTTTCACATCAAAAATTTGGGTCTTCTTCAATACTTCCTAGGAATTGAGGTTGCCCGATCAAAAAAGGGTATTAGTTTATGCCAAAGAAAGTACGTACTAAATTTACTATCTAAAACTGGCACTTTTGGTGCGCTTCCCGTTGATAAGCCTATGGATCCTACAGTTAAGTTAGATACTAAGAGTAGCGAAGTGTTTGATAATATAAGAAATTATCAGAAGTTGGCTGGAAAGTTAATTTATCTCAATTACACGCGCCCTGATATTACATATGTTCTTAGTGTAGTTAGCTAGTTCATGCATGCTCATCGTAAACCTCATTGGGAGGTTGTCTACCGCATACTTTGGTACATAAAAGGAGCTCCAAGAAAAGGATTACTATATCGTCCATCATCATCATAACTGTTGTTGCTTTTTTTGATGTTGACTGAGCAAATAGTCATGGTGATAGACAATCTAAATCTGGATATTATACGTTTGTTGGAAATAATCTTGTTACCTAGCATAGTAAGAAGCAGAATTTGTTGCACGTTCTTAGTTCAGAGGCTGAATATTGTGCTATGGCTCATACTGCTCGTGGAGATGTTATGGGTTCATTCTTTGCTCCGTGATATGGAACTTGATGTGTCTTCCCCTATGAAGATGCAATCAAGCAATAATTTTTATTGCAAGTAATCCAATATTTCATGAGCGTACCAAACACATTAAGGTAGACCGTCTTTTCATCCGAGATTTATTAATAAAAAAAAACATCATCAGTCTATATGTTAAGTCTAGTAATGGGTGATATTCTTACCAAGCCATTGGCTCGATCAACTTTTAATAATTTATGTTCCAAGCTAGACATTTTTTATCTTTATACTTCAACTTGAGGGAAAGTGTTAAAGTTCTTATTTTATATATTAAGTCATAAGTCTATTAATGTATGATAATTCCAACATTACTCTAAATATTGCAAAGTTATAAATAAGATGGCGTACAGCAATATAACTCATACACAACTGATTCCTCATTCATTGCCTCTTCTTCTCTTTTCTGTCTTTCTCTAACTCCAACATCAATTTATTGTTTTCAACTATTATAATAGTCAATAATCATTAATTTTTTTTGTAGATGTGTACCAAACATATATAATTAAAAGATTGTCCTCATTTTCTCAATTGCTCTTTTCTATATCTTTTATGTATCTTTTAACTTTTTTTATTATATTTTGAGTACAACTTTAATATGTCTAGTCTAGATAATTAAATGTTCTCTCATTGTATAAGTTACTTATTAGTCCAATTTTTAAGATTTGTTAATCACATATCAACACATGTTTAATATTTAGTAATAGAAATAGTCTAAAGAAGGGTTGCGCACTTGTCTAAAATAAAAATTTTATCATTTAATTATGGACACAGATAAAAGAGTATCAGACACGTATCTGAGCATGTCCAATGAGTGTTGATGTCCGCCATATGTCGAACACGAAGACGTCACCTTCTTGAGAGTGTTTGTGCTCAATATGCACATACCAACAGTCGCAACTATTACTTGCCAATATACCTTCATTGTTTAATGGAAATAGATCAATTCTTACAGATGAAGAATTGATAATTCGTCAACATCGATGTTTTCGTATCAGATACCTTATCGGATACGATGCTAATCGAATACAATTCATACATAGCCGATAGTAAATAAAATGTGAATCATTTGCAAATACTTCTACACACGAAACAAGATGTATAGCTTTTACGTTTAATCTTTACCCTCTCATTTTGAGTTCACATAACAATGCAATACATCAACAAAAATCTCATTTGACTTTGAAGACATGAATGTTTTTTAAGGATTATCTACTATAAAATGTCAAAAGATTATTAAAAAAAATGAGTTAATAGTGCTATAATCTTGGAAGCAAATATTTCTAAATAAACCAACTAGTATTCATTTAATTAGTCATATTTACTTTGTAGATATACCATACTAAGACAATATTACACATTTTTAAAGGTAAAAATTGCTAATTTTGCTTACTATTGGAATAAAATTTCTAAAAAATTGTAATTACCAAGTCGCCAAATAATAGTAAAAATATAAAATACTAGCAATTAACTCAATGTCTGAAGACACTCTACAATACTCAAAATCTAATATTAATTGTGCAACATTTATATTTTAAATAGAAATTTATTTTTCCTTTTCTTTAAATATGCATTTTAAAATTAAAATGCACCGAGTGAAAATAACGGAGATATGTCTGGATTAGTGAAGATTGTGTGGCATTAAGAAGTGTATTAGTTAAATTATACAATATTGGGTGCTACGTAGAGGAGATGATGTTTTTTAGGCGAAAAAAAAAAATTTCAATGAATTTTATACCATTAGATGAAATTGGATGAAGATTGAATTAATCTCAATCATTGTTGTACTTTTATAAATTAGCAATTCAAATTGCTAATTGTAATATTATATAGATATTTCATTATAAACGTATTCTAGCTGTATCCGTATCTTTTTTTTGAAGTTATCGTATCGTTGTATCCGTATTGTCCTGTACCTATATCCGTGTTTCCTAGATTTTTGCTTGAGCCACATTAAAACATGGAAATGAAAACAGTGAACTGCAAAATGGCAGAAGCACTACAGACCACAGCAGACGTTTTCACCTGTGCAATTATAACTAGAAGCACATAAAGTAAAATATGAGAAATAAAGAAAATTATGAAATCAGATCTTCAAATACATTTACCTGCACTACTCTCTCCACCCTGACTGTCATCAACATCGTTGTCATCCTCACCATCACTGTCGTTGTCTTCATCGTCCCCAACATCATCATCATCATCATCAGTATCTTCCACATCATCCTCATCACTTTCAACGGGAACTTTGGGTTTTGGAGGAGGTATAAAGCTCGCCGTGGACCTTCTGCGTGCACTTGAAACAATGTTGCTCATATCAAGGCCTTCGAGTTCTTTTGCTCTTTCCTTTCTCTTTCTCACTTCTTTAATTTCTGCACAAGAGTGCAAGGTGCATTTAGATAAAGTTTGACTTGTCTCCATGACTATCAGATACAAGGTCCAAAATTGCTTTGTAGTTTGTACCCTACTCCCAGGATGAAATATGTCTACTAATGGTCACCAAAATGACCTTTAAGTGCCCTGTGGACCAAGTAAGACCTCTATATATAGACATGTAATTAAATAAGCATTACACATGCAAAATAAGAACTTGCGCTCATACATACTGTATGAACTTCTACTCATATGGCCCTTCAAAATTGGCACTTGCTCTGGTTAATTATGATGGTAAGTTGATATCTCAATCAATAATTTTATATTAACCGCCCTAAAAACGATACTGTATTAGGACCTATGTAACAAGAGAGCGAAAAGGATGTCAAGACAACCTCAAAAAGAAAAGAGACCCAACTGCTAGAGAGAGATGAAGAGAAAGGGCGGAAGAGAAACTCTCCAGAAATCCAGAAAGAACTCTTGATTTAGACATTCTAAAAGTCATCCTCAGTGCACTTACACCCTAAACAGAGTAAGCAACCCAGGGACAAACAAAAGCTATTAAATTGACCCATGATATATTTTTTTTTTCTTTTATTTTGGAGGGGGGGGGGGGGGAGGGGGGGGGGG